AAGTTCATTATATAAAAATTGGTAACAAAACAAAAAAAAATTAAAAGTAATGAATAAAAGTTATGTTCTAGTGATAAAAAACTTTTTTATTATGTTTAAAGAATTTTTTTGTTTTGGAAATATTTTGAAAATCATCAAGAATTCTCTTTCTTGTGTTTAATGTTACTTATTTTATATTTTTCATATCTACCTTTCACTTGTTTAATAACTTTGTTTTGAGTTTATTTTGAACATCATTTTAATTACAAATAAAATAAAACAAAAATCCTGAAAATGAGAATCAAAAAAAGAAAAAAAAATTAATTTTCTCAAAATATATAAAAATTTTCATCAATTTAGAATTTTTTAGAATGAAGAAGAGAAAAAGAATCAATAAAGATTATAATTGAATGCAAAACATGAAATCAAAAGAATTATAAAACCAAAAACAGATTTTGATTCACTTTTCTTGTAATCTTTAAACTTTCTGGCCGTGATTTATTTAAAACTGGTTCTTTTAAATCCTTTTTACCTTTATTTTATTTTAATTTTTGCTAAATAGTTTTAATCCTGGTTTTAATATTTTTTTTCTATTAATGATTTGTGATGAAAAACTTTCTCCTGCTTGATGTAAATTACATTTCATAATTAATAATAACGTTATGTGAAACTTAACTAACATCAGAAAAATTATCAAGTTATGCATTTTTCAGATCAACAGCCGATAAAATCCCATTCTTGCTTTATTTTTTATTTATAGTTGATTGATTACAAAGCAATGCAAATTAAAATGCAGTTAACTGTTGAAAGTGTTTTCCACAAAAGAAAATTTTACAAGTGGAAACTCATCGTGATAGAAAACTGATGAAAATGAAACGTAAGAAAAGTAAATGTCATTTTGAGATGTACCAAGAAGTCCGAGATTGATTATTGAATAATTGAACCCAACTCCGAGTCGATAAAAGGAAAAGTACTTGGGATAATAAGACTGAAAACAATAATAAGAAAAATATTAAGTAATTAAGAGAAAAAAAACATCGTTTCAAAAATTGTTTAATATACATTCATAAAAAAGAGAATAGAATTCATGAATAATTATCGTGAACCTTGTGAAGTGAAAAATAAAAAAGTGAATGAAAATACGTAAACTGATAACAAATAACATTTTGAGTCCTCGCGAAGCGCCATTGCGACTCACATGAGTGTTTTAATTTAAGTATTTGAAAGCCTAAGATAAAGAAAGGATATCGGAAAATCAAACAAATACAAAGTGAAAGAGAAAGAGAGTTAAGTAATGAAAATGAGAAAAAGAAAAAAATAAAGTTGATGATGAACGTTGTGCAAATATTTATTAAACAAAAAAGGAAGAAAAGAAATGGAAATGAAAAAGGAAACAAATTGATGATGTAACTAATTGACTTTTGAAACTAATTCTTTTATATTAGTTTTTATTATTATCTCCCCCAACCCATTCTTTCCTTTATTCATTTATAAGTCGCGTTATTTTATAAATATAAACTAATTTAATTAATTATTTAGTGAAGAGAAATCAATAACTTTTATATACAAACAAATCATTTCTTATTCATATTACGATATTTCAAAAAGTTTGAAAGAAAAATATTTTAACTTCTTATATTCATTTACATATAGTTTTTAATTCAAAGAAAAATGTTGCATCTCAATAAACCGATTAAATTAACAATTCATTTCAACATCCGTATAAATCCGAAACTATTTAATAAATCATCAGATAAATGTCAGTAAACGTCGTCAAATTACATCATAAATTATAGAATTCATAAGAAGGAAGCTGCTGCTATACGAGAAACGAAACGAGAATAGTTAGTAATTGTTTAACTAATTCTAGTTCGCTGAATTTCAATGAGATACATAAATAGTTAGAGTTTTCAAACCATTTTCTTTCCAATAGCTTAATTGTTCTAAAACTAAGTTCAATTTCATTCTTAAATTAACCTTCATCATCATCATGAACAACTGAAATATTTATCGCTCAAGTTAATAGATAGGAAAAGCTAAGGGAAAAGCTAAAGAAGCATAATTAAAACAATAAGCAACGGAAAATAAGTCGATGATCATAAGAAACAATAAATTGTTCTTATTTAAGTTTTAAAAAATTTCTATCTTAATCCTCGACCCATACTGCTGGTTTCATCTTGTTGATTTTCTTTTTAATTCATTTAACAACCTATTTAGTTTCATTTGCTGATGTATTCCCAATTTTCTTTACCACATAAGTAGAGAATTCGCTTTGATACTTTTCATGATAATTTGAAGCAAATTCTAAATTTTTTTCTGCACATTAAAAAAATCTCATATCAGGATTTTGAAAACATTTTTTATTTTTTATTTGGATGCAGCACGAACAGAGAAAAAAAATTAATAGCGAAGAACAAGAAACACAGTTTTAGATTTAAATTTCTTATGGAATATAAATATTGTAACTATTGATTAAAACAATAAATAAAAATAAAAAGAAAGGCATTTCTTTTTTTAAGTAACTAATAAACTTCGAAGAGAGTTCACTAATCTTTGGTTTCTTTTTTAATTTTTATTGGGGAAGGTTTTCCACGTTGAAATGGTCCTTCATCGTTCGCCATTGATTTACTTCTTAAATTTCTGAAAGGCCCGTCAGAATCTGATCTTTCTGTGATTCTTTTCGGAGTTTCATATAGAAACTCTTTCTCTGGAAAATGATTGAAAATATCCAAAGATTCACAGACACATTGAATGGTTTCCAATGATGTGTCTTGAGATTTTGAATTCGATGATGCATTTGTGTTCAAAGAATTTTCATCTTGAGAATCTTCTAATGTTAGATCAATGTTATAATCGACATAAGTGATAAAAAGTTTCTCAAAAGTTTTCTCAATGTTATTCAAATCATTTAACGAGACACCTTTCAAGATTGATTCTATGTTCTTTCCAAGAACAATGCTTTTTAATTTCGACAAGGATTTTCGTATTTCCTTATCAGTTTCCGACTTTTCACCTCTTTTTAATCTTTTTATCATAATGTTTAACTTCTTTCTATATTTTTTTCCTATTTCATCACGTTTGTCAAGAATCGCTTGATGGAAATTGTTAATTCGTTTACAGTCGTTATTAGACATCTACACTTGTGGAAAGAAATTATTATAGATATTGTACATTGAAGATATTTCCTCCTGAAAATGTTATACCTTGATTTTGATCAGTTATCCAAAGAGTTTTTTTTAAATTAGATCATTTGATCTGATTTTCAGGCTTCTGCCTATTTAGATTAGGAAATCAAACAGATGATTCGAAATCGTTAATTTCGAAATTACCTAATATAAAAACTGCAACGTTGCAGTTCGAATATTTTGATAAAATTCAGGTGAAAGGATTACTTTACACAAAAAAGTTTCAGATTCACAACCACAGTAATGTTCAGAACGTTTTCAACCACGTTACTTAAAAGGCTTGAAGGAAAAATTTGTGTTGTCACTGCCAGTAGCGATGGAATTGGATTTGCAATTGCAAAAAGATTAGGAGTTGAAGGTGCTAAAATAGTTGTCAGCTCGAGGGAACAAGCTAACGTTGATGAAGCTGTCAATTTGTTAAAGAAACAAGGAATTAGTGACGTTCTTGGTGTAACATGTCATGTAGCGAAGGAAAATGACAGAACAAAACTTTTTGATGAAACTATTAAGAAATTCGGCGGAATTGATGTTCTTGTTAGTAACGCTGCAGTTAATCCAGCAGTATGCTCAGTTCTCCAGTCCAGTGAAGAAGCATGGGATAAAATCTTCGATGTCAATGTGAAAGCTTCATATTTACTTGCAAAAGAAGTCAAACCATACATTATTGAACGTGGGGGAGGTTCAATTGTTTTTATTTCATCTATTGGAGGCTACCAACCTTTTGATTTACTTGGAGCATACTCAGTTAGTAAAACCGCATTATTTGGATTGACCAAAGCAGCTTCACTTGAATGTGTTCGAGACAACATTCGAGTAAACTGTGTAGCTCCTGGAGTTATTGAAACGAAATTCTCATCAGCAGTAAGTGCTTGAATAGAAGATTAAAATTGATAAAATTGATATCTTTATATATTGTACAGCTTTATACAACTGAAGCAGCAAAAGAAGAAACTCTTAATACTATTCCAATGAGACGATTAGGGTTAGTATGGAGAAAAAATGTAACAATATTAATTTTAGATTAATTTTTGCAAAAATTATTATAGGAAACCAGATGAGATTGGCAGTGTTGTAGCGTTTTTAGTGTCTGATGATGCAAGTTTCATTACTGGTGAATGCATTGTTGCTGCTGGTGGGGCTGCGTCTAGACTATGAATGCATTATCAACAAACATTCAACTATTTTTTTTAAAGAAAAATTTCTTTATATTAATTGTCATTGAAATGACGGGTATAAGATTACGTACAAATAATATTTAAATTGTATAATAAAATTTATTAATTGGGTAATGGTTTTAATAATTTTCAATGAGTTTTAATGTTATTTATCTTCATAAATAGATTTCAAATGATATTTACAGGAACAAACTTTCGAGTTTATTTAGCTAATCACGGTCTAACATACCTATTTGATCATGACTACCAAAAACATTAAATATGTACATATAAAATTGTCAAGAAATTTCAAAATGATTGTTAGCTGAATAAATTAATTCACAAGATCATTTAAGTTTCATTCTTCAGTATAATTAATTTAACGTCAAATTTAAACATTTCTAAGCGGTTTTCAGTGTTTCATCGTTTTCCGCTCAGCCTCTTCGTTAAATATTAAAAACTCAATTAGTTTTAACGAAAAATCATTTTAAAATCGTGTTTGCTTTAAAAATGGAGAACATTATAGAAGCTTTTGAAAAACTTGACACAAAAATTCGCAACATTGAAGAATCTATTACAGTTTTGTCACACTTGCCTGCAGTTAGTGATGATGTTAAAAATCTTGAAGATTTTCTCAAGGAAAATAAGGATTTGACTGCGAAAATGAAGAAAGCTCATAAGGAACACCATGAACATTTAATGGCTGAGTATAAGGAAGTAAACGCAACAATGTCCCGATGTAATCTTAAAATGTTATATCTGTTAAAATGTTTGGAAGCAAAAAGTGAAGCTGCAAAAGATGAACCGAGAACAAAGACTCGAGTTGATTCGTTGAAGTTGGTAATAAACCCAAACAATAATCGCGTTACTATCAATGAATTCATCAAATCGCCTTTATCAAAAACTCGAATAAGAACCAAGCTTCAGTTCTCTGATTTTGAAACTGAGATAACCGATGAGGATTTTGATACAATTTCTTCTTACATGAAAGGGCGCATCACATTGAATGAGTTGACAGAATTTCTCAACAACGTCATCATTCAAGCGTTCAACGAAAAGTATCAAATTCTAAATCAACATTCGGAAGTCCTTACCATAGTGGAACGAAGTCTTCAAAACACCTTCAAACAACAAGCTTCTTTCTTCACTGGATTAAAGTTTATTACCGCTGTAGATATTTCTCGAGTGTTGGATAAAAATTTGGAAAGAAAACATGATCGTTACATTCAGATGCTGCGTCATCTCAACATCCTAAGAGAAGCTCGAAAAAACTCATACGTTTGCTACATTTGGCTGAAGTCATAAATATTTAAAACTTGTTAAAACTGAAATTTTATTTCATTGTTTTTGTCGGAATAAATCCAATTTCTAAATTCCATTAATTTCAATCAAAATGTTCTAAAATGATTTCAGAAGGTCTTCGAACAGATGGCCACCAATCTTCATTAACTTTCATTTTGAAATGTTCACGAAGCTTTCTGAGGTTCTTTTCAACTTTATCTTCTTCCTCAATGAAATCCCATTCTCCAGTCTCTTTATCAATTATGTTTTCCGGCAATCTTACTGTTTTAATTTGTTCAATAACTTCAAGATTTCTAACAACTATCCATTCATCACATTGTTTTGCGCGAAATTGAAAATTTTCATACTTGAATTCAGATATAAAACTATCTTCGAGAAGTTCTTGCATAATTTTACTAATCGCATAATTAAGATTTGTGTACCGACGTTGATGGGTAATCAAAGTGTTGTCGTATTCGTTCACAGGCTTATCAAAAAAGTTTTGAAAACACAAAACACCAAAATTGTCGAGTTTGGTCATCAACTCATTTTTAATTTCAATCGAATATGTGCTTATGATCATGTGAAAACTTCTTTCGCCACTCTTTCTATTGGCAAATTCAAACATGTAGAAATATCTTATTGCACTTGATGGGAAGTCAATAAGCTCACAGAGTTTGCCAACAATTCCTTTGGGTTGTTGCAATTTGAATGGAAAGCCTGAAAGAATCACGTCACTTTCTATTAGTTGTTGTTGCTTGTAATTGTAATCTTTGTTAGGATCGTAAGTGTCAACAATAACTTCTTCAACTTCCTCTGGTTCAACATAATTTAACTCTTTCTTCAAAAAAATTTTCTTTGTTACAGTATTCAACTCTCCATTGCCATAAACACAAATCGCCTTCGTCAGTTGAAAACCAATCTTCATGTAGAATTCGCCTGAATCATAAGTGGACAGAAAAATACTTTTAAGGTGTAAAACTTCTTCGCAAAATTTCTCAGCTTCTTGAATGAAAAAAGATCCAATTCCATTTCCACGGTAATCGCGATGAACTACCATGGATTCAATAAAACAAGCTTTTTCATCCGCTGGAACTGGTACGAGCCTTAAATGGCCTAAAACCTTAGTTGGGATAATTTCTTGTGCTTCAAGTAAAATTTCATTAAAGCTCAAACTTTTGCTTTCTTCTGAATCGTCACAAAGTTTTTCTTTAAAAGTTACAATGAGACTTATTGGGAGATCATCTTTGCTTGCACCTAAAATTGACAGACGTTCAGAACGTGACTTAGGCCAATGGCTATTAATCAATCGAATAGTATCATCAAGTAAATCCTGACGCTTATGAATCGCCACAACTTTATAATATTTTTGAATCAATTGTTCTTTAATTATTTTCTTTTTCTTAATTTTCCGACCTGAGAGTCCCTGAAAATTTGTTTAAAATAATTAAAATTGATTTGTTATGAAACATGTCATCTCACATTTTTGGTAGCATTTCCTGTCCAGTAAGATATAAAGCACATAATATTCTGTCTGTAAATACAAACATGACTGACAGTTGTTTCAAGTAGAATGCTTCAAAACTGGTGAACAATTAGCATAACTGATCATAAAACTCATGCAGTGAGATCACAGCTAGTTAGTTTATTTGAAATGCACATAAACTTTGGGAAACACCTTTCAACTGCATCACATCGATTACAATGTGAGCTCACTGCGAGAAAATGCAGTAATCTAATTTGAAGGAAATAATTCAAGGTGATGAGTATGAGGTAAATAAAAATAGTATGAAACAAAGTAAATTACTCTTATTTTTTTCATGAAGAAGTCAACAAATAAAAATGCAAAAATTAATCCAAGATGTGTACATTGAAATGCATTATTTTCTCTATAATATTGTTTTTGAATAATACAATCATAAAAATGAGAAAGAAATACGAGGATAAAGTTATTTTTGCAACTGTTTATTTCCGCAATTAAGATTTCAATGAAAATTGAGACAGTCGTGTACGATCAGCTGATCAGTTGTGTGTAAACTTAACACGTGCTTATCGATCATAAAAATTTTCCAACTGTTTTAATATTTCAATAAAAATCATGAATTTTTGTTAACAAAGTTACAGTTATTATGTAAAAATATAAATTGTTTTAAATATTAGAGGAAACTTACCTTAAAAATTGATATGTGAAGAATCAGCAAAAATCACTCAAATTAAGGAATTGAAGTCATATATCGCAGAAAGTTTGTTTTCCTTGTGAAGTTCTTTAAAAGACTGTGACAAATAGAAGAGAAAATATTAAAATTTACTATGTGTTGATGAATATCTGAAATAAGAAAGGAAGAAGACAATAATTACAGAAATAATAATCACAAATAACATTTTAATAAAAAATAACGGCTAGAATAATTTCAAATCATAAAATAGCAAAAAAAAACTCAATTTGAAAATAATGTCACAATAATATATCACCGATCTGTTTATCTATATTTATAAGAAATTTCTGAATTCTTGTCATCAACATTAGTGTAATCTTGTCTATGACTTTAGAATCATTGACTTAAAAGATAATGTGGAGAGCATAATTATTTTACTTATCATTAGAAGTGAATGTGACATTAATTGTAAACTCTCATCAAACTTCTCTACATACACACTTGATTGTTTTTCGCAATTTTTTTAAAAGTTTACGACTAAGAAGAAAAGAAAGGATCTGAATTGCGATGGTTATCGGTGCATTTCCAGTTGCAAAGCTTGGTGTATTAGCTATAAAACAAATATCAAAACCAATTGCAAATGTCCTTAAGAGTAGAGCGAAAAATTCTCCTTTTTTTCGGTAGGATTTTTTTCATTGATTTTATTTTAAATATAAAAAAGAATGATAAATGTCATTATTTCTCATAGAACTTATATCTGCATGCCACCAGCTCAATTCTACAATTGGTGTGAAGTGAAGACAAAGATGTGGGCAATGAATTTAGGTGAGATTTTGAAATGATGATGTAGATTCTGTACGATTATTGAAAATCTTCTATTTTTATTCAACTAGGAAAACCAACATCCGTTCCCAAGGTAAGAATATACAAACAAGTTTCGAATACTTTTATTTCAATGATTCTTGATTTCATTTAAGTTAAATGAACAAATGGCAATTGAGCTGGGATCGAATCTTTTAGGAGAATTTGTTATCTTTGTCATTGGAGCTGGAATTCTTATACTCGAGTATCAAAGACAGTCAAGAAAAGATATATTAAAAGAAGAAATGGCGATTCAGGAAAAATTAGAATTACATGCTCTTCTGAATGAACTTGCGTTCCAAGCTGAACGACAAGATACACAAATTAGAGAATTATCGCGAATTATTGCTGATATTGGTGAGAATAATTTCACAGGCCTTGAATAAATTTATTCCATTATGTTTCTTATCCTTTCAGATTCTAAATCATGGACACCTAAAATTTTGACTGACATTGTGGGGAGAAAAAAAATTCAAAGTGAATGCAAAGAGAATGAAGATAATCCACTTCAACTTCTTCCCGAGAAACGTTCAAAAATTCCTCTTAAAGCTGGGCAGAATGTTCTGAAGGAAAAGAGTGATAAAGAGATAACATCTGGTAAAGAGCAAACACTAATCAAGGCGATAAACCTTTTGTTAACAGAAGTCTTTTATAGCAATCCCCAGTCCGACACCACAGCAGAAATAAGAGGTGACAGTATCCTCGCAAAGTCTTTGAATTACTTATTTGTTGAATCTGAGGAGAACTGTCAGTCGACTTAATTAAAAGAAACTTGTTGTAAAAGTTGTGTAAATAATATTGTTAATGAACTGTATGATCAAGTTAGAATGAATCAATTCATGATTTAGTTAAATTGCTTCTTAAATTTTTTAAATAAAATAATTTTGAAAATTAACGGTAGTTTAATTTTTAAATTTTGTCGACGGTGTTAATATTCCAAATACGCCGCTGATATTTTCCCGCCAAAACGTAAGCGGTCGATAAGAAATATTTCTTAATTTCGTGATTAATTAAGCTTCTTAGGAATTAAACGTGAAAAATGGTATCAATTGAAACTATACAAGAGCAATTTGATGAACTAGGAGTTGATCCAAGCAAAGAAGTGCTCGAAAAATGTAAGAATTTTCAGCCATGTATTAAAATCTTCAAATTAAGATTCGTCTTGTTTACATTTTTAAGGTCTTGATATTTGTCTTACTTATAATGTTGATGACGCTGTTGAATTTGTGGAGAAGTGGATGGCATTTAGCATATCACATTTAGAAGGTGCTGAACCGACAATTCAATATCTTATTGATATGGAAAACAAGGAGTACAAAAATCAAATTCGAGCAGGCGTGAAACCTAAACAATCTTCGAAACCATCAGCATTGAAAGTCTATAATCATGACAGTGATGATGAAGAAAACGATCTTCTGGGAGCCTATGTTTGCATTACACCAAAGGTAAGTCCCAATTCAATCGTCTTCGTATTGCGTAAAGTTTGAAAATTTTCTCCTTCGAAATGCGTGATCTCAATCGATCACGCGAAATAAACAATGGAATTGACCCTCGTAATATTTTCGTGACGTAAAATGTGTCAGCTTGAAATTAAATCTCAATTATTTATTAAATTCAATCCCAATCCAATGAGAAAAGCTTTTACCCCTCACTTTATTATTCGCTAGCGTTCCATACACGATTTCAATTAACAACCACCAGTTTAAAGCCTTCATACGATGGTTCAATGCTCTTCTTTTTATTATTTTATTCTGTGTCTGTAAACAATAATTTGCGAGAGAAACATAAAAGAGAGAGTAGTTGTGTAGATATTTATCGACATTTTACAGCCTTATAAGACTTAGACTCGTCGAGTTCAATTAGTTTGAGTGTGATCGCAAATGTGACTGGATGTGTAGATATTTTGCTCTCTTCGATTATATATTTATTATTATTTCTGACGAAGCAGAAAATTGTCCCAGGTCGGCATATTTATTTTTTTCTCCTTCATGTGATTCTCATTAATTTGTGTTTCAAGACGCGAAAGCAGCAGAAAAAAATTAAATTGAAAAGAGCGGAAAAAAAAAGTTGTGACGTCTAACGAGTGATCATACATTGTTAGTCTATTTATTCCTTAATATACAACAAGTGGTTTATATCGGTAAAATATTTTTTCCCGCGTAAATTTAGCATGCATTCGAAGTAAGTTATTGAGACTGTGGGCTTTTTTCAAGCCATTTTCTTCATTTCATCCATTTTACAATCTCCTGTTACATGACGAAAACAAAAATATTAAAGTAAGAATAAAGTGAAGCCAAGCTTGAAAGGGGAAGCAAGGAAAGAAAAGAAATCAGGTTTCTCTTCATCACTTCTTCTTCTTCTTATTTAAAACCATCTTAGTTCTATAGCCATCATTCGAGCTTTGCCATTCCATCATTTGAGAAATGAACATTAAACTGTTCCATGAAACTAAAAAACTCTTTACAACAATTATCTCTACACACATACAAGTAACAAGTCGGTCTTAAAAGAACGAAACTAAGAAAGAAAAAAATTCCAAGGCCAAGACACGAAAAAAAAAGAGTAAGAACTGATGATCTTAATGATCCCCAAGCACTTTTAAGTTTGTTCTGTTTTTATCAAACACAAACACACACACTGTGAGTTGAAGAAAATTGCTTTTGACTCAAAAGACCCTTTTTTTTAATGATGATGGAAGCGAAACGAAAGAAGAAGGAAAATTGAAGAAAAAAAAGATTCTTTAGAATTCACCGACACAAATGAATGCCTTCAGAGAGCTGCCGAATTTACAGAGAGCGAGAATGAGCGCAATTTAAGTTGGTTGAGCAAGCGTCATGTATATTTCCATTTCATTTTCTTATGTGTTCCAAAACTCCATGAGATTTTTTTTTGTAATTCTTAAGTAAATAATTCAAAAGTTCCCTCAGACTGATTCAGTTTGTTTCCTACGCTCCAACGAAACGTTTGTTTCTTGTATCGCTCGAAAGTTATTTTTTTATTAATTCCTTCATTTTCTCTTCGGTGTGTTGTGTGTACCAGAATTTGTTTTTTTTCTTTTCATCGCTCGTAACAAAAGATCCAGGCAAAAAATATAACAAAAAAGAAGGCGAATTAAAGGAAGAGGAAAAAAAATGAGATCCATTATTTTGTGCTCTGTGCCTTGACTTATTTTCCTCATCCAAGTGCTTGGCTTCAATATTTTCTGTTCTTTCTTTTTCCCTTCCTTCGATTGAGAATCGAGAGAAAAAAGGGGGAAAAGTAGAAGCAACAAGAAAGAAACCCAAGCCATGAGTTTCTTTTTCGGACATTAAAACGATCAGTGAAATCAACATGTTGTGAAATTGTGTGTGAAACTTGTGCGGGAAAAATTTCTTATTTGAGGGGTGATCGGTGGATGGAAAGGAAAAGAAGTCATGGAACCATGATAATAATTAAAAAACATTAAAATTCGCTCTGGTTACGGAAATTTGAATTTTTCAACACCACACGGCTTTGGACGGGTGGATGAGAACCTTTTCATTTAATTCCCTGTTTGATTCATTCAAGCTTGGTGCGGGGCGATAATTAGAAAAATCATATTGAAATGCTTGAAAATGCGGGTTCACTCACCCTAGAAGCTATTAGACATACGAGAACGGTGAGACTTTCGGATCTCTAGTGTGAACGAAACATGCCCGAATAATAATAATAATAATAATAACAATCTGAAAACAATTAAAGTTTCGCTTGAGCGCGAAAAAAGAACAAAAACAAAAACCGAAACTTCTTCATCTAGGTAGTGGAGACATTAAAAAGAAATAGAAAGAACGTAAGAAAATCTCATGGAAGAAGAGCCGTAGAAATGACTTTTAATTACACAATGAAAAAATAAAATTTATTTTCCCATCGCTTCCGATTAACGTTAGTCTCCAATGAATCCAATTTCGTCGTTGAATAAGAAAATAATTTTAATAAGCGAATGTTTGATTACGAACACAAGTGGGAAGTCGAGGGGCGAAGGTTAAAATTATTTAATACATCACAAACACAAACGACGATCATTTCGAAGTATTTTGTAGTCTGATAATGAAAAGTGAAGTTTCTTATTGAAATATTAAACTCTTGTTATTCTATGATTAGTTTCTGTTTTGAAGATCGCTTTGTTCCCATGACGAGTAAATATTTATGCGTTATTAGCACAAAAAAAAAGAATTTCAACGCCTTAACGCTTAGCGAAAACACTTTTGCTTTATTTTCACTGCCTAACAACTACGAGAAACATTTCCATTTCGCAAAAGTCACAAAAGTTTCCATTTTTAAGTGCTTCACGAGAAATATTTTGTGTTTTGTACAACGGTTAAGTGCACTGGCTTCGTTAGAATTCCAAATTTCTACCTAGAAAAGGTTTTTTCCTTTTTTTCGTGATCTCACATCTTTGTGCTTCAAAATCTTAAAAAATGTGTAACAATGCAAAGCCTTTTTCCTTTCCTCCTTCTCTTTAAGATGAGATTGTCTACCTGCCCGTACCGTCATCTTCCAACCACCGAAAAATAAAAACGAATTTTGTGCGCGCAACTTGCTTTAAAACATTTTTTTCTGGTTTTTATTTTCTCTTCTGAATTCTTCTTTAAATCATTTTTCTTCCCTTTTTGTCTATTTTTTTAATTTTGGTATCTCCATTGCGTTCTTCGATCACTCCGGGATAATGAAGAGTGAAGAAAAAAAAATTATAAATCTCTTCGTGCTTCTAAGTCGATCGAACGAACAAGACAAGAAAAAAAATCTTTGGGTTATATAAATAGTTCTGGACAGCAGGCAAACAGCAACAATGTTTCATATTTAGACTCGGTAAGGGGTGGAGAATGAAAGATGGATAAAGAATGCGGTAACGAATGGAGGTATTATTAACCTCAGGTGTTACAGGTCCGTGCTTAGGAGTCGAGTAAGAGCCTCTTAATAATTTAATTTCCTGATTCGGTTGCTTTATTAAAATAACATAAAAAGTGTTCGAGAATCAAAACTGAAAATAACATGAATTCTAGAATCACTTATAATTTATATTCACTATTTTTTTGTGGCGTCTGCCGTTTACGAGTTGATTGCCTGAATTCACGTGACGTCACACGTTTAGTCGCGAAAAAAGAAACTGATTTAAATGTTTTTAAGCCACAAAAACAACAAAAAAAATATCAGAGTCGAAGTGTTTTTGATATTAATTAAGTTCTGCGCCAGGCGTCAATCTCTCGAGAATATTTTCGCATGATGGCGATGGATAAAAAAAGCTTCTTGCGTTTACGAGTGTGTAAGTTTCTATTTTTTTCCGGTGCTTGGCCTGAGCTCTTTCGCAAGTTGAAGGTCATGAATCACACTCGTTTTGTTCAGGTTTTTGTGTCGGCTTAGAAACAACAAAAAAAAATCAGCAAAAATATGATTAAAGCGTTTTTATTCTAATGATCGTTGAATGTATTCTTGTTTATTATGCTTCGAGTGCTTGTGTTTCGGTCTAAAGCTGGCACGTAACCGTCGAAGAATGCAACCGTAACATTTCGAGGAAGTTGATAGTAAACCTTGAACGATTTTACTTATAAATTGTTAAATCTCAGTCAGAGGCTGAGTGATGCTTGAACTTGAGTCATTTCCATCACCTTTCAAACCACCGACGCCAGTGATTTATATTTCTATAATGGTTTCGCGCTCGATTCCGTCATCCGTGGACCATAATTTTGGTTAAAAAGCTTAACATTTTTTTTTCATTGTTCTTTTAGTTTCGCATGTAAATAATTAACCATTCCTTGACTCTTTTTTTATTTCTATTTTCGCGCTCGACTTTGCACATAAAAACGAACGAGAGGGAAATGAAAACATCAACAAACCGTAAATTGAATCATTTTTCAACAAAACGGAACGAAGTTCATATGCAAATAGTTGATTAGTTGTATCTCGCTTACTCAAACGCCATAAGCCGGTAGCTTAACGTCTGTTCTCACTCTTTTTATTGAGTTGGAAATGTGATAGAAATTCTGGTTTTTGTTCTGCGGTTTTTTGAACTTTTTCAATCTCAATAAAATTTTAATAATTTATGAGCGAGAGTTCTCGCAAACGTATAAAGCGAATTGCCAAAAAAAAAAAATATCTGTATAATTTTTATTCGACTGTCGCCGCATTTTTATATCAGACCCGATATTTATTATTAAGAGAAAGAGAATTGCGAGTTCATGCGGAATTCCCGTTGCCTGGCTTTACGTTCCGTCGCGCATTCAAGTCGTTCATGTTTTCAAATATCTGAGGATAATCAATTATTTTGAGAAGTTTTTTTCATCTTAGAAAATTATTTATTTATACTTTTTCGCTTCCTTTGCATGTGTCACTCACATTGCTCATCAATGCCTACTCGTCGTCACAACTTGTTGATTCCTGATGATCGTTTTTATTGCTATGGTTGTTATTGTTGCTGTCTTGTTTCTGTGTTATCGCAACCGGATGTAAAAAAAGAAAAAAAATTAAATAAAAATGTGCGCCAACTGATGGGAGATGATGAAGGAATGGAATGTAAATAACACATCAGCAGACGAAATGGGAAATGAGCTTAATCATCTGTTTCGTAGTTGTTTCATTTTCAATGAGTTTGTTTCTAGTGTCGCATTAAATTTTATATAAACTGTGACTAGATCCACACTCATTAAAAATGGCAGCTACTAACTTCATCGGGTAATCGTTTGCTTAATGGCGAGTTCATCAAACCACCAAAGCGATAAAATTGCTGAACACAAATTTTCTCTGTTTTCGCGGTTTCTTATATATATTTATTCACTTACCTTCATAAGTATCAGGCTGTAGCATGCCACAAACAGCTAACTAAGAAAAAAGAAAAGAAAACTCTGTCCCGCAAAATGGAAGGAAGACAAAAAATGCAGGAAAAAAAACTTTGTTTATGTTTTTCATGCTACACGGTGCATCCATTGTGCATTTGAATTGCGCAGTGGAATATTTACTTGCATATAAAAAACTGCATCTCGCAATCATTGAAAGAAGAGAAAGCAATAAAAGCGAAAACCGAGAAGCAGTCACTTAAACAACGAATCTGCTTTCTTGAGACTGGAATTTCATTTTAATCTTCAATAACATTTAGTTAATTTAGAACTTGTAAAAAAGAAAACTTCAACTTTTATTTGATAAATACAAATGTAGAAGAACTCGCTACATTGCAAGCAAAACTATTTACTTAAATCCTTAAATAATCAGTGATCTCAAATGATTCACGCTTGTTTGTTTATTTAAATTAAGAAGAATGAAAACAAAAAAAAGAGTCGCATAAAGACAATGAAACGGTCTCAAGAGTGTCTTCTTCTCTTGCAATCTTTTAAAGGGCGTTAAACTCTTTCACTCTGCTTGCTTGTGCTTCTTTATGCTTTGTTTACGAACTCAGCGATTACATTAATTTAAATGCCGCATTTTTTATCAGACAATTCTCCGCTTTATTATTTCTTGCATAATTTTATATTTTTTTCCTTCTCTCTGCATAAAAAAACTTACTAAATATGAGAATATTGAAGTTGTTTTAAAATTAATTTTCATTATGTTCATCCTTTGAAATCGTGATGAAATGGTTACGAAAAGAATCGAAATTCTTTTATTTTGAAAAAATCCGATCGAAAGATTGAGTTCGTAAGTTCAATCGAGATTAAAAAAAAATTTCTTCGATTTTGTTTTTGCCATTTGCCCATTGAGACGTTGAGGGCAAATGTATGATCCAATTAACTCAGTCAGCATGTGACTGCAGTCACCAATTAGACACGAAAGCTTCTACTATCAATGTGGACATTCACTTGTCTAATTCAAAAGTCATTCCAGTGTTTGTTGAATGCCTTGATTGATTGATCGATTGAAGTCTGCGGGTTCTCGTGAAACTTTCACATGACTAGATTATTTGTGAAATTCGCTGATTGAATTTATTTTAAAACAGAGAAAATTTGTGTCACTACTTAAAGAAAGAAAAGTGAATCAAAAACAATGACAATGCTTAACCAGCTCATGGGGCGGGTATGGATCTAGTGCACGGTTCACGACAAATATTTCAGTTCTTACAAATGCCATCAAAGCTGATCGAGACGTCGTAACTGCCGTTGCGACATCACGAGAAGAACTGAAATCGAAAAAAAAGTTTCGCTTTTTTTTTGAAATATTTTTCCTTTTGTATTCGTGACTAGATTACATGCTCGTCTATTAAGTTGGATCTCAAAGACGTCTTATTTTTTTTGCTTTTGCCTGCTTGAAATGTTATGTAGACTTCTTTTTATTTTTTATGGCGAGTGATGATGATTTCCTTTTGTTATAATTGGAAACTGCTTGTGGTGAAGATCATTAAATTGTGATTTCGAGTCTCTAGATGATGTCATTTAAACGACGACGGGAAAAAATATTTGATTCTAATCTATTCCATCGGCTTCTGTTGATTCTCGCCATAAAAAAATTATGAAAAACAAAAAGAAAGAAAATATAAATCAAAGTCGATTAATTAAATGATCTTTTATTATTTTATCAAGTAACGAACAAGAACGAGTTTCAGTTGAATAATGAACGCAACATTGTTGCTGATGATTATAATACAATCGAAGAAATGAAAAACTTTCTTAAGCTAAAAAGCATCATGAAGAATAATTTCCTTTCTTACTCTTCTTTCAATTCAATTCGTCTTCTCAATGGCCTGAAAATACTTACTTCGTTTTTACCAATCTTCTTTAATCGTACATCTTTCATCTTGTTCGTTACATTTGTGTTGGAGTTGAAACTTTAAAAACAAGCATCATGGGAAATGAAAAATAAATTAAAGTTTTAAAAAAGAGTCAGGGATCAAGCATGATGTGCTAAAATGGAAACATTTTCAATCTTGCTGTAGATAAAATTATCTTGATTAGTAATTTTATTAGACCTCAGCTTGAGACAATTGACTTTTTAATAGTTTCGTCAGTGAACTTTGATATTAAACATTGTAAGGCGATGATGGTCTGCAGAGAGATTCTTCAATTGCAAAGGAAAACTTTGCATTTACTCAGAAGTTTCAAATGTTTATGATTAATAAAAATGAAATAAAAAATTGCTCTAAAAATGAGCCTAAGTGGATCATATCTAACATCACAGAAATAAATCTCTTTCTAACGATTCTCTAATGCGTTCCATCATGCATGGAAAAAATACATTAAGATGAGTGGTAAGAATTGAAAGAAAATGTTAAAGATGGAAAACGATTAAACAACCTCGAGGATTTAAGTATCGTGAAGGTAAAATTAAAAATAAAATAAAATGAACAGTAAAGCGATTTAATTTACAGGAAATTGAAAAGGTCAAATGTAATTGAAGGAAATATTTAAAAGATCACAACCAGCAGGGAGGTGTACAACCATAACCGATGGACAATTGAGTATTGTTGTTTCCCTCTCACTTTCCCTTCCCTCCAACTAAACACCAACTCCCCATGAACGCCCTTCAAGTTTGATTTTTTGCGGCCACGTTTTGCAATTCGAGACCGTCAATTAGTTGTTTTAGTTTTTCTTCTTTTCGTTGACGCGAATAATCAAAAAACCGTTAAATTTATTAATCCATGCCTGCGGAAAACAAGAAAACTTTTTTTATAAGAAATCTGCAACAATGAACGAATAAATTGTGCAAGAATATAAAAAAAAAGTCGTCGAAGGAGAAAATTTCCAAGAAATTCCAATTTATGGCTTCGTGCAGCGTCCAAAATAAATAAAAAAATTCATTCTTTTGTTTTTATTTTTCTATCTCTTTCTCTCGTTTCTTTCAAAACAACAGAACGATAAGAAAGCAGCCTCGAAATTGCAACATCGAACACCCGACGTCACCAAAACGACAACAACATTCACTCCAGATAGCTACTCGCCATTGTAAGTAAATATTCTCATCTCTCATGATTTGACGATGACTAACATGAAATCAAATGATCGTCGTTTTCTTTGTTAGCCTTCTTTCTCTCTCTCCTTCATTCGTCTACTAACTTTCCATCTCTCTCTATAAAATAATATAAAAGTAGCGTTGTTGTCTATCTGAAAGTTGTAACCATCCATCTAACCAACCAACCATCCAACAATCCGTAAACACAATAAGATGGAAAATTATAAACGACCGTTGGTTGTGGAGATCGAAAATGAGAAGAAGAATCATCGGAATTAATAAACTCAACAGCCAAAATGATGATTCTTGAATTCTTCTCTTCCTTTCTTTCGATTTCATCTTCATTATTATTTTTTTCGTTTCTTTTCTGGTTTTTGATTGATTGAATTTAAATCATTTGAAATTCCCTTTCGATTGTCGATTGTAAATGTTTGTGGTTGTGTGTGAGAGATTTTGACTGACTTTGATTTCTTTTTGGTTTTGTGGTGTCGTTTGTGAATGATGTCATGTTTCAAATGATTTTGTTTTTGAAAATTTTTCACTCCATTTTATCATGTCTGTCTCCACAATTCCATCATTTCCTGAAACAAAGTCAAATGTAATTATCAAGTGCACAACATCACGTACTGTCTGCAAGAAATGGAAAAGTGGAAAAGAAAATTATCGACAGGAGATCGTCAATTATCATCCCCGAAAGCGTATTTCGTTCGCATGGAATTCTTTTCAAATTATTTTCATTCTTTTCTTTTTTTTCTTCTTCCCACAACACGTAACAATTTTCAGAACAACAACAAAACGATCTCGAGTGGCGGAATCAGTGAAATCTGGTAATGTTGTTTATACGTTTGGTAATTTCATGGCGAGTGCGAATGAATCGCGAGATCATCAACAAGTGACAGTTAAAATAGCAGAGCTAAAGGATGGAACACAATGGATCAATAAAGATTCAAAGTACATGATGATTTCAGCACAAGATGATGGTCAACTTATCTCTGAAAGAATCTTCAATATTGGTAAAGAAATTACGAAAAAGATTTTAAGTGCTGAAGGGAAGACAGAAGAGTTGATGTTGAGCCATTGCGATGTGATGTCACATGAGACTGTCAGATGTTTGGGAAGAATTTTCTGTGGTGGCCGCGGTGATAAACTTGATCAAAAATCTGCATATTTCATTGGTTTCGACGAGAACAAATTGAGAATTGTTCAATTAGACTTCTCCAAACTGAAACCTTCTGTTCAAGTTTTTCCTGGCGAAGTTTGCATCATCAGTGGAACAAATCCGCGTGGAAAGATTTTCTACGTCACAGAAATTCATTCAGAAAGAATGCTGGAAAATTCTTCTCCATCAACGTCATTGACGTCGCCACTTCATTTGATGATTGCATCCGGACCATTTACTGCTGACGATAATTTACTTTTCGAATATCTTGAAAAACTTCTCGTCAATTGTCAGAATAATCAGCCAGATGTTTTAATTTTAACTGGAGCTTTCCTTCCAATGAAATCTCAATTGATTTTTGATGTCGCTACGGAACTTGACGAACATTTCCAGAAGATCTTGGCTGGTATCAGTGAAAGAGTTGGGGAAAACACAAAAGTTGTTATTGTCTCGTCATCTGATGACATCAACAGTTCCGCATGCTTTCCAACTCATCCTTATAAAGTGAATAAAATTCGCCCGTTTCCAAACATCTTCATGGCACCCGATCCAAGTATCATTGACATCAACGGCGTTCAAATTGGAATCACATCAGTCGACATCACACAACAACTTGCTGATGCTGAATTCTGTGTGTAAGTTTTATAGCTTTAAATTGCATCAAAACATTTTTCTCTTAATTAATGACTTTAATTGAGTGACGCACGAGATTTTTATTTGTTTAAATGTTTCGTCTTTAGAAATGCTGGTGCTGATAAAACGAGGCGCTACATCAATTATCTTTTTCATCAAATGTCGTTCTATCCGCTGTTTCCGCCGAAAATTCCGACTGATATTCGACTTCTACACGAGAACGGTGCGATTAATAAGATTCCAAATATCCTGGTAGTGCCGAGTGATATGAAATTCTACATGAGGGTGAGAATTTAGTTTTCAGATGTCACAAGAGTTTCATTCAATATTTATTTTAGGATTTCAACAATTGTTTGTGTGTCAATCCTGGTCGTGTGATGAAAGACGGTTTGGAGGGAACAATCGCTAGACTTGTCATTAAACCAACTGATGAATCTACAAAAGCTGCCAATTCATGGATTTCTGGACAAATTATTTACATTTAAATTCATTAAAAAATTTGTCTTCATTTTTCCTGCTTTAATTTAATAATAAAAAAAATCAAATTTCTTAAAATAAAACTTTTTACAAAGAATTGTCATCAAATCTCATCTTGATCATCGATTTGTATCACTTCGTGAGCTGTTTGGTTGCTATCGGAAGTGCTACTTGAACTGTGAGTTCCACTGCTACTCCATGATGCATTAACTGGCTCAAGATTTGGCGAGAATCCAACTAAAGGCTCATCGTTGTTCATTGACTCGTCTGAACTACTGGAAGATGACGATGATTCATTGTCAGATTGTGTCTCATTTTCTGAGTTATCTTCTTCATTATCTACTTGCTGGTTGCCATAAGCTGCTGAGTTGCTGGTGTTGTTGCTGACTGTAATGTCGCGGATTTCTGAATCTGACCCTTCCGATTCTGATGATGAGATCGCTTCAATATTATATGTGTTAGTTCCACTTCCATCTTCACGAGCTACTGGTGACACTCGAACACGGAAATGCTGAGGCTGAATAAAAGAATTTTCAGTATAAATTTCTAGAAAGAAGAAATTAAACTTACATTAATAGGACGATTTCCTGTTCGCTCTGCTTGAATCTTTTTCTGATTTTGAATAACACGTTGGATAAATCTATGATGTTGCTCAAGCTTAGCATCACAAGGTATGCAAATTACTTTCGGTAGTGGATCAAATCTTGTCAGCTGAAAAATTGTAAACAAAATTTGGTTTAAAATTAAATTGATGTGAAAATATGAGAGAATTCTTACATTTATCTTTAAATAAACATTAATTTTTTGTTCCAGCTTCTTCTGAAGTCCTGTAAAAATGATTTGGGTTTAGTTTTCGATTAATTAATGAATATATAAAATTACTGTCCAAATTTTGAGAATCGAGACAGAAAATTATAAAATTTAAAGTTCACAAAAGAACATTTAAGTAACAAACCTTCGTCTGTATATATATGAATAACATTCCGATCAATTTGACTACATAGTCTACAAATAAATCCTTCAATTCGAGCTTCTGCTATGCTACCCATCGAATAAAATCCCTTAAAATATTTTTTAAACTCTTGATGATATTTTATAAAATTTTCATCTGGTTGAGAATATTTACACAAGTCAATGTATAATTATTAGTTTATAAAAGTTGAAGGCGCATAATTTCTTGCAAGAGAGCGTCAAATAGACAAATTCTAATCATACAGTTTTTTCGTCATTAAAAAGATAAAAACAAATATTTTTAACCGAGTTTTTAAAACAAATTCGTTGATATTTATTCTCTCTACTTTTTACTGTCGTTTGAATATTGTGACTTATAAACTCTTAATTATGCTGAATGTTTAATCTGCAGACAAATGTTTGTCTATAAAAGAATTTTTAAAATTCTTATTTTCACGAAAAAAAATATAACAAACGTACTTGTCACGCTTTAACACTCAATAAATTATTTATTCGAAGTTGTCACAAAAAAATTCCAAGTTTCTTCTTCATGAAGTTGGTTACAGTTAGTGGACAAATGAAAACAAGAAAACCTTAAGAATTTTTCAGTTTCATTTAATTCTTAAACGTTCAACGTTCAAGTTGTTTATAAAGGTGGAATTATTAAAGAATAAATCATGGGCGAAAAAATTTTACAAGAAATCTGTTCTATGTTAGACACTTACACTGGACGTGACAAGGTAAATGATCTAAATAATTTAGTGAAAGAAGTGCAAAGTTTAATTCATATCTCAAGATCAGATGTTAAATTATTTCCACGTTGATGAATTAATACGAATAGTTTTTTTACTTTCACTTGGCCTTTAAATCTTGTTTCTTGTGGTAAAATAGACAATTGAAAACTGGATTCGTGTCTTATATTTCTTGTTTTTATGCATTTCACTTCCTTGTTTTTTTCTTGTCTTGTCATAGTGCAAGTTTTTAATTTAAATCTTGTGGGGGTGGCATGTATTTTTTTCCTGAAGTTATTTCATTACAAAATAGTTATTAGGAAATTGTTAGAAAAAAACTATTTAACAATGTTAACTGAACGAGCCCCCGACTAAAGTGATATTTTATTGTCTCAGCTGGAATTCATAAAGTCACGTTTTGATAATTCAAATTTAATAGATGAAAGAAACCTGTATGAGGCTGTCGGCATTGAGTTTTATTTTTCGTTGTTTACCGTTTCTTTTTCTTTTATATTATTTGACATTTCTTTGCTTTAGATTGTCAGAACTCTATGCTATACAACAAAACTGGTGTCGGCTATTCAAGCTGAGAAAGGAAATGACGATTTATCAAAGAAATTTGCAATTTTCTCAACAAAGATGTCACAAACACGAGCCAACTTAAGATTATTGTAAGATTAGAGGAGAAATATTTTAAATTCTCTTAATAATGACATAATTTTAGTGACGACATTCCAATGATCCAATACACTAAAGAATATGGATGGGGAGATAAAGAGCCGGATCAACTGATGGCAGTTATTGGTGTGCTAACAAATGTCATCGATCATCTTTACTATCCAGTTGATAAAATTTGTTGGCTCATTGAACAAAAAATCATCGAATCAAAGAAACCTGAACGTTGGGATACAATCAACTCGATTCTTTGGGTTTCGTCGATCTATTTAAATCTAATGAAGTGAGTTTTCATCATCGACCATTATCTTATCATTTCTCATCAGACCTCAAGTCGAGTAATTAGTTTTGCTTTTTATTTATGTTATCAAAATATTTTTCTGCATTTATATCTTCATCTATGCTTACCTTGAACGGTAGGCGCGATATTTTTATATGAAAAAGAAGGAAATGAAATATTTTGATTTATTGCCATGGCGGTTATCATCATATTGATGATTAACTGAAACGGCTGAAATTTAAATGAAAAACATGAAAAAAAGGGGATTTAAATTCGATTATTATTAATTTTGATGTGTGATGATGACACTGACCACTTGTTGATTATTTCAGGACAATTCGATTAGTTCAAGTCATGCGCCTGCATCGAGAAAGCATTGACAAAGTTGAGAATGAAAACAGTGTCGCTCTTAATAAACTCGAAGCGAAGGAACGAATGGAAAAGATCAGCATTTTAAGATTGACGCTTGATTTTGTTCATGCAGCTTCAACACTTCCACATGGTTGGTTATGGGGCGGAAAATTCTCAAATCTAACTGTTGGTGCAATTGGATCAACGTCAAGTCTTATCGGTCTATATCAGTATTTTGCTAAGAAGAAGTTAGCAAGAAACTAAAGTCGAATTACCTACCAAACGGTTTGTTAAGTGCCTTTTGCAATTGCCAAAAACTTAAGATATTAAATGAATGAAAGCTGGAAAGGAAGAAAGTTGCTGAATATTACCTTTGTTAAAGTTTCCAATAAAAGATTGTTAAGCTACCAAGGAAATAATCTAATCAAATAGATAAATCATAAATGTGAGATAATTTT